GGGGGAGGAAGCAGGAGCTCACTCTGCTACGCTAAGGCTGGGCTCGAACCGCTGAAGTGTCAACCATTTCTGCTCGGCAACTTTCAGTGTCATTAAGCTGCTGCGCCACTGCGCCCCCATTCATTTATGTATTTATTTATTTATTTATTTATTTATTTATTTATAGATTATTATTTGCACTGTTAGAAAATAATGCATTTTTTAAAAAAACAATGGAGATTTAAAATACACTGGGTGAGTTCATGCATGGGAAATGGTACACATGTCATTTTCCAATATTTCTATATACGCACTGCACACATCTTCTCCCACTCTTCTGTTCCTATAAAACTGCTCTAGGTACAAAATATGCTGTCTGACTAGTATGACAGCCTTATATGGAGCACAACCCCAAACACATCTTTTATTCATGCATTGGAAATTATAGCATATTAACTATAAGACCGAAGTGTCACACTGAAACTCCAGCTGCTTCATGCTACCTGCTGAGTCTCAGGACTGCAGCAGGTAAGAAAGCCAATGCAAACATACATAAATGCTAGTCTTAGATTTTAATAGTTAAGATCCATCCTGTTCTAATATACTATTCCATTTTTAAATGAAGCAAATTAGAATTTATCTGGTTTAATGTATAGAGCATATCTGTGATTATGCAGAAATCTAGCCAAAAAAAGAAAATCCTGAAACTCCCAGCTCAGTACATCCAGCATCATTTATTTCCTTAAACAAGAATCATCTCTTAATTTTTTTAAAAAATAAGCACCCTATAAAAACATGTTAGTAAATTTTCCCCAGAGATAATCTTGGGGCTAAAATCAACTGAAGACTTCAGAGGCTATATTGCAGCAATGGGCAACCTATACACCATCAGGTATTAGTGAATTTAGCCCTCAGTGTCATGCTGGCCAGGGTTACTGGAAGTTATAGTTTGATAGCATCTGGAAGGTCACAGGCTACCCACCAATGCTGTATCAACAGCAGGTTCAGGAATGAGCAGGATTCTGAAATAGATCCCCATGGATTCCAGCTTAGTGGGACCTGTGTGTTCTAAAAGTAATAGTGAACACATGGATATCGGCACATGTACAAAAGAAGCATACCATTCCTCTATCCTCAGTTTTGGATATACAGAAAGATATTGTCAGTGCATCCAATGTATAACTCTGAAACATGCAAGGTGACTAAAATTTTCCATGTCCACATGTTAACGGAAAGAAAGTAAGGACTTCCTCTTTTTTCCCCGAAAATAAAGTAAGAAAGAATAGATAGCCAGTCATTATTCACCCATTCAATATTTTGACTACAGCATTATTTCCCTATCTTGACAATTCCCAAATAAATGGATTTCAACTCTGAGAATTTTCAGAAATGGCCATGGTGGCTGGGGAATTTTAAGAGCTGAAGCCCACACATTTGAAAATTGCCAACACTGAACTTGAGAATTTGAAGAGAAAATCCTGTCATTTTTTTAAAAAGAACTGTAGCAAATTTAATTTAACAATCTAAGTTAAGCATATACACTACAGTGAAGAATCCAAAATTCATACTTCAGGTAACATTTTTAGCTGAAAGTTCCATATACCTGTAGCTTCCTCTTCTTCCTTGACAAACTTCCTGTCCAGTCACTGATCCGACGCATTCGGCTTTTTAAAGTTTCCTTCTTAGCTGCATCCTCATTAAGGCTCGTAGATTTCCTACAAGGCAGAGTATAGGAAGAGTACTGTGGAGATCCTCTGTGCTCCACCTTAGAAGGAACGTCTATGGCAGAGGTAAATGAAACCCGGTTGCTTAAACTAGCATGTGTATTGATGTAATCTGCAGAAAGTCCAATATTGGAGGTTTGGCAACTTCTCAGATTTGAATCCCCATATAAATCACGAAGGGAAGAAAGAGATGAACTTTGGTTCAATGTTTTTTTGCAGTCATTCTGGGAGAAACCAACTTGGATGCTTGCATCTGGAATGCTCCTGGATATGTATGACCCATCTAGTTCATTTATACCTCCATTATTGCCCCATGGAGCATCATACCATGAAGACTCTGAACTAATGGAGCTCCCTTTACTGGATCTAAGTCTTGAATCAGTAGCTGACAGACGATGGCTTTCAGCATAGTCTGTACTAGAAGATTCCTTTCCTTCAAGCATTTTATTCTTTTCTGATTCTGAAGTAGGTGAGTATCTTAAAAGTTGGACTGGTTCACTGGGTTCATCTCTAGAGTTGCTACTGTTACTGCTAATGTTGTGAAATTCAACTCTCAAACACCCATCAAGCTTCCCTAGTGTCTTGATGAGAACTTTTGGACTCATTCTGTCATCTGGTAGTGAAATTTCTTTTTCCCCATAGCAATTTAAGAAATGTCCATTATATTCCTTGGAAGGAATGTAGTTGTTGGTAGTTTCAAAGCCAATGTAGTGAAAACCATTCTCAGGTGGAAATGCATTGTTAGTCCCCTGACCATAGTTCCCTGATGTGCGAGTCCTATGTTTTGCATGGTTGTTACTCTTAGATACTTTCACTACTGTGTCACTGAGTCTTGAGGAATAAGGCTGATTACTCTTAAAATGAGAAAGGCAGCTTCTGGCAAATGATCGGGATTTGTAGCTTGCATTACTGGCACTGTGGTTCCACCCACGTACGGAGCAGGATTTTTCATCTTTAGCATGGACACCACAAATTTTCAGAGAGCAGGGCTTCTGCTTGGTAGCAGATGTAGGAACAGTATGACTTTTGGTTCCCTGAAGGCTGTACTGGCTTTCTGAATTTCCCATTTTTACTAAAAAGAAATAGAAACAGCTCTGGTTATTAAAACAGTTGCTCCCAAGAACTTGAGCCTTACTTGTGAACTCCTAAAAAGGTCTGTAAGTAATGAAAGACCACTTCCTTGAATTGCTTCTAGTAGATACTACACATTTACTATGTTTAATTGAGACATAAATAATTAAATATACTGGAATAATATTTAAAAAACAGGCAAAGTTGATTTGGGGTTATTCATATAAACCCCTGGGTAGTTTTGCAGAGAAAACAAGCAACAGTAATAAGTGAAAAGGGGTCTTCCTTCTCAAACTAAAGTGCTGAAATGAAAAATGTTTGTAGAAAAAGTGGTTTTGGTCAATACTGGAAGAAAACTCCTGACCAAATCCTAAGGAGATACTCTCTTCCTCCTCCCCTTGCTGAATTTTGGGACTCCTACTAAAGATCATAATGGGTCCTTTATCTTTGTTCACCTTGACCTTATTAAAATCAATTCAAAAAGACTCAGTCACTAAATCATTTTCTCCCTCATTCTGAAGTCTGTTGCTTTTATCCAGGATTCAGTGGTATAAAGAGACCCAGCATACGAATATGTCTTTTATGTCAATAGACTCTACCAGTTTCATCACAATTTAAATGCATAACTACCATGAGTAAGAAAACCTAACCATAAAAAAAATGTAATTTTAAGGTTCAGTTCAGACTTCATGTGAAGCCATTGTTTGCGTCTCTCGTTTTCAAATAAAAATGTATATTTCAGACATACCTGAAAAAAACCACTCAAATGTGGGTGGAATTAGCAGTTTGCATGTTTGGCATTATTTTGATAGATGGTCTTCATGTTTTTCAGTCACGAAATGAAATTTCATATGAATCCCTATAAGTAAACGATGAGGAATGTCTTAGTCAAATAAATGAAAATAAATTCATATTTTAATACGAATATCCATCCAACACAGAACTAATTGTCAGGAACATGGGAGCTAGTATTTATATTCTATGGATTATTTATTTATTCATTTAAATTTGTTATAACCGCCCACTCTAGTAGACACTGGGCAGTTTACAAAAACTAAATAAACAGTTTAAACATTTAAAAAACATTAAACAAAATTGGCAGCCCAGACTAAAAACAGCCATCACAATAACAATAAAACACAACAATAAAACACATTAACCCCAGGTCTGGGAACAGAGCCAGGTCTTGAGGGCTTTCCTGAACTCCAGGAGAATAGGCACCATTCGTATCTCTGGGGGGACGCTGTTCCAAAGTGCGGGAGCAGTGACAGGGAAGTAATGCTTCTTTGGTCCTGCAGGATGACAGTGTTTAATTGAGGAGACCTGGAGTATACCCACTCTGCCTAAATGTACTGGGCAGCAGAAATGACTGGAGATAGATGGTCCCTCAGATAACCACGCCTTATACCATGAAGGGCTTTATAGGTAACAACCAGTACATTGAATTACACTCAGAAGCCTACTGAAAAACAATGCAGCAGTGACCCATGGGCACAATGAAAAGTGACCATTGCTGCTTACCTGCTGCATTTTGAACCAACTGTAGCTTCTGGATGATCTTCAAGGGCAACCCCATATAGAGCACATCACAATAGTCCAATCACGAGATGACCAGGGCATCAGTGATAATCTGAAGGGCCTCCTGGTCAAGGGAAGGGTGTAAATGGCACCCAAGATGACTCTCAAGTTGTACACCAGTCTTAAATGCAGAAGTGCTACTCTGTCCATGATCAACAATGAAAATGTCCTCAACCCAGGAAGGCCAAACAGCCATAGCCATTCAGTCTTGTCAGGGTTAAGCCAAAGTCTGTTCCTTCTCATCTAGACCCAGTCTCCAGATACTGAGTCGGTATATCAACAGCTTCATCTGCACAACCTGGGGTTGAGATGTAAAGCTGGGTATCATCAGTATGCTAATGATACCAAACCCCGAAAAAATGGATAACCTCACCCAGCAGTTTCATGTAGATGTTAAACAGGAGGGAACCTGTTTGAGCCTGAGATACTCCACAAGGGAAACACATGGGTATGATCTCTCACCTCCCCTCAACACCAACTAGGATTAACCATTTAGGAAGAAGGCGAACCACTGCAGCACACTACATCCCACTTCCAACCCCCGCAGCCAATCTAGAAGGATACTGTAGCCAATGATATCAAAAGCCAATGAGCGACCAAGCTGGTATATCATCCCCATCTGGCCCAGCCAAAGGTCATCAACAAATACAACTATCACTTTCTCTGTATTATTCTCCAGTCTGAAACCTGACTGAAGCAGGTTCAGATAATCCTCTTTCCTTCTCAATAGCTGCCATCTGACCACCTTCTCCACAACCTTCCCCACAAAGGGAAGAGTGGAAACTGGATGATAATTTCCAGAATGGAAGGGTCCAGTGATGACTTCTTGAGAAAGGGGCACACTACTGCTTCTTTCAAGACCAGCAGGACCACCCTTCCCTGAAAGAAGTTGATACTACCACATGGACCAATCCCTTGGTCACCTCCCAGGCCACCTTAACAACCCAGGAGGGGCCAAGGATCTAACAGACAAGTGGCCAAACTGACAGGTTGGAGGATCTTGTCCACCTCCTCAGGAGTCACAGAATCAAACTCAGTCCAGATAACCTCACAAAACTGTGCCCCAAGTAACTCACTTGGACCTGCCCAGTCAGAGTCCAACTCCAAGTGAATCTGAGGGACTAGATGAAACACTGCTGAAATCGAGGAATTGTGCATCTTCCCTAACAAGTAGGTTACACTAACTTCTATAAGAAAAATGATGACATACAATTCTGATATTTTAGTATGTTGGTTTTAGATTCTCCTTCCCTTAATAAGATAATAGTGATTTCACTGACTAGTTCACAGGTAACACCTAATGTTTGTTTCATTGTAACTTGAGATCATGTGGTCAGATTCATTCCCATAGTTGCCCTGCTCAAAAATCCTCTCTTTGCAGTTTCATCTCACAAGATGAACTATGTTTTCCATAAATATTTCTTATCCATAACAGGATTGGAAACCATGGCTTAATTGCAGTTCCTGCGAATTGGGAAATTTTAGTGAAAGTGGTACTTGGATTTTAGCTCTATCCCCACTCCTTTCACTCCTCTTCTACTGCTATGTCTTACATGACCTCTGAACCAAAAGAGTACCAAAGTACTCAGCAAAAGAGTACCAAAAGTGGCAAAAGTACTCACAAGAGCTCAAGCATGATTTAGAAACCTGCACGATCAAGGTTCTAAATTGTACAAAGAGAGTCATCCACTTCAGAAGCCTTGTTCAACATGGTAATCATCTTCTCATACTAATTCCACTGTTGTGCACCTTTCAGAGTTTGGGAGCTACTAACAATGCTCTATGATGTGGAACTGTCTGCCCAAACAGCAAAACAGGAGATGCTGCATAGTTGCTATAGTCACAGATATCTGGTCCAATGGAGTAATCCTATGTGATCGTATACACACTCAACTTACCAACCAAGATAAAAGCATATTTAGGGCTTTCCCCTACTAAAGGAAGCTGTTTTATATTAAAGCCTACACCATGCCAAATTTCTAAGTCAAGTTTACTAACTCATCTCTAACAGAACTTCTCCTACTATGTAATGCTTTTACTGTTGTAAGAAAGCTTTTGTTATGATCTCAGATGTATCCTCCAATTGTCCTTTTTTCTCAATTTGACTATCAGCCTCCAAACAATTGGAAGGAAGGAAGGAAGGAAGGAAGGAAGGAAGGAAGGAAG